TATTTCCTTATTTATGTATAATTGTATTTTTTCACACATTTATTTTTATTTTTATTTATACATTTATTTATTTCCACTTTTATTTATTTCCACATTCATTTATGTATATATGTTTTTATGTCTACATTTATTTATTTTCACATTTATTTATACATTTATTTATTTCTACATATATTTATTTGTACATTTCTTTGTTCGTATGCTAATGAGGGGGGCGTGTTTTACCTCAGACATCAGCAATCGAGCTCAGAGTAGCAGTGCTGAAGCTTTGAGGCCACAGTGACACCTTGTGGTGTGTGACCAAACGAAACGCAAGAGGTGTGCGGACAATATCACATTTTAAGTCATGTATATCACCCTAACTGTATGTAGGGTAGGCTATATAGGGTTAACACACATAGCACACATGAACAGAAACTGCACTTCAATGGGTCTGATAGCAGACACTTGGACATGGAAGTGCATGAAAGTATCCACTATTAATAACAATGTAAACGCGGTGGATAGGGCTGATAAGAGCTTGCGTTTACTGTCGATGAGACTCGCACACCAGCGCAGAACGCGGAGAGAAACCAGCGCACATTTCACTGACTCCTACGCAAGCATATTGATCAATGAGTTTGAAACGCGACTCAATACACGGTTTACATTCGCGTTTCATAATTTCGTATGCATAACAGGTGACAATTCAAATGCTTAAAACACAACCCATATTTCATAGATGCTGCTCTTAGATACTGATTAATCACAAGTCATCAATTTGGAATTATTCTTAAATCAAACAAAAGGGGCTCATGTAAACGCAGCTAGTGAGCCACGCATCTCACCCCATGCAGTGGAGGACAGAAGCATCATCATGCCCATTCAAACAGCACCTGTCGTGCCCATGGGCGTGGTAATATTTCCCCCCATAAATTGATTTTATATCTACCCAAACCTTATTAGATAGGTAGGCTATACATCATCATATATGTCAAGTTCTTAATATTAATCGATAAACTACTAAGTTATAATTATAATAAGGCACTATGGCTGTTATCAGTAAAATAAAATTAACAAAAGTCATTAAAAGTCAAAATCTTAATACAGAGGAGAATGCTTTTACACTGCAATTACAATTGCATAAAAGTCGTTATGAGATTAATGTTAAAAATAAATGAATATAGAAATATGAAATGATGGAATCAATTAAATTGTATGTTTAAATATGAAACTTAAACAGCCAGTAGGTGGCGGTAAGTCACTGTCTAAACGAGTGAGTCATATCATTAATTCAGACCGATTCATTCAAATACTGATTCATTCAGTTCGGGGGGAAAATTCGAATAAAATTATCTCATACATGGGCTATTTTTTACAGCATTTCAGCTCAGACACACGTCGCCCCGCCATAATTTTGCTCCTTGAGCTGTACAGTTTAACAGTAACACGTGGTGTTTTCCCCCGAACTGAATGAATCAGTATTTGAATGAATCGGTCTGAATTAATGATATGACTCACTCGTTTAGACAGTGACTTACCGCCACCTACTGGCTGTTTAAGTTTCATATTTAAACATACAATTTAATTGATTCCATCATTTCATATTTCTATATTCATTTATTTTTAACATTAATCTCATAACGACTTTTATGCAATTGTAATTGCAGTGTAAAAGCATTCTCCTCTGTATTATATACATGACTTAAAATGTGATATTGTCCGCACACCTCTTGCGTTTCGTTTGGTCACACACCACAAGGTGTCACTGTGGCCTCAAAGCTTCAGCACTGCCACCCTAAGCTCGATTGCTGATGTCTGAGGTAAAACACGCCCCCCTCATTAGCATACGGACAAAGAAATGTACAAATAAATATATGTAGAAATAAATAAATGTAGAAATAAATGTGAAAATAAATAAATGTAGACAAAAACATATACATAAATGAATGTGGAAATAAATAAGTGGAAATAAATAAATTAATAAATGTATAAATAAAAAAATAAATAAATGTGTAAAAAAATACAATTATACATAAATAAGGAAATAAAAGTATAAATACTAATTTATTTGTACTTTTTTTACATTTCTTTGTATATTTATGTATTTTTGCTTTTTTACATTTCTTCGTATATTTATGTATTTATTTATTTTTAATTAAGTCAGCTTTAAATTAAATTACCAAAAGAAAAATTTGCTAAGGCCCTATATGGTTCAGTACCATAGATATGTGGATCTCAATGCTACTCAATGTCCAAATTGTTGAATATTACCCATTTTAACAGTCAAAAACCAAATGTGGGTCATTTTGTACACAGCTAACTGTATTAAAGTCTGAAGAATAAATAATGTTGAAACTAGTATCTTGTTTCCCTCTATTTTTTCCCTCACAATTGCATGGAACTACTTGCCGGAGTGCCAAAAATACACTGAAATGGTCAAGTTGTGACACAATAACTTGCTCTCAGTAGTCATAAGATTTTATATTTGAATCAGTTAGAGATATTTGGAAGAAGGGTTGTGTTCATTTTAACAGCTTCTGAAGCTAGCAATAGTTCAAATATGCAGTATTGTAACTACAAGTTTGAAACAAATTTCATGTCTGCTAGGAAAGTGTGTTTGCTCTCCCCACACATTGCATTTACATCAGTAAAACAAGATTTTCCTCAACTGGATGGTTTAATTAATACAATTTTCTATTGTTATAACATGTGAAGCATAGTCATAGACTGAGTAGTATCCACTGCTAAGGGGCATATTTTGTGGTATCACTGATAATACCTCAACTTTGAAACATTTAAGGGCTCTCACACTTGAAATAGTTCACCCTGGGTTATTATAAAACCCGGGTAAATGGGATCCTCCTGGCTTATCTTATTTTGTTTCACTATGTTCATACTTTACACAGAATTAACAATTAATCCTGGTTATTTCCAATTTGACGTCACACTATACATTCCCTATTCCTAAACCCTGGGTTACTGTTCTTATATGTGGTGACAACAGTCATGAATGGATAAACACAAAATTACATTTGATTTTCAACTATTGAAAATGGGTAAAATTCAACAATTTGGACATGGAGCTTCATTGAGATTCTGATATCTCTGGAATTGAACCATAATAAAAATAGAAAATTCCAAAAATTACAGAATTCCTAAAATCATATTGATATCTAGTCTGACTTCGTCATACTCATATTCTAGTCAGAATGTGAGTCTGATACTGCTCCATAGGGCTTTGATTATGAGCTGTGTCTTAACCGAACCAGGAAAAACAACAACTCTGCACTCAATTGGATAGACCTACAACCAATCAGAGCAACGCAGTAAGTCAACTACTTTGCATAGCACAGTTGTCAACTACAGAACTCAAATGCACGCACGCTGGAAGAAGTAAAATAACGAGTGTTGCTTCTTTTACTTGGTCCTCTATGAGTGCGACCAAAGGAGAAACCACAACGACCACAGGGTTTTCATTGCGTCCCATCTTCTTAGTGACCATCGGAGCCAGCTGATAAATTAAACTTTTGCCGAATCCCGTAGGAAGGACGGCAAACACATCTTTCCGATCGACAAATGCCTTGATTGCAGTTCTCTGTTCGTCTATTAAAATGAATGCGCTGTCGATTTCTTTTACAACAGACGCGATAGCGGAATCTATACATCTCAGTTCTCCAGCGGCAGTCATCTCTGAGGGAAACCAGTTAAGCGCTCTTTGATAACGTGATGATTACGTCCCTGCAGATCATCTGTCCATCATCGTATAAAGCCCGCCCTGGCAATTTGATTGGCCCGAACATTTTTTGACTGATCATAATTACTCCTCAATGGAGCGAGTCCAGACCGAACTTCCCGACCAAAAAATGTTGTGGGCGGGGTTCGGGCTGGCATCCAGGCTAATTGATATCTTTAATATTTCTTGAGTTACAGGCAGGCAAACTTCAGTAAAAGAACATTTTTGGCACTCAGACAGGTGTGTTCTTAGCAATTCACCCTTCGCCGAGAGTTTGATTGACAGGCAATCTGATCAATCATAATCCGCCATCCACCGAATCCACCATTTTGTCTGACAAAGCAGTCAGGAGAGTTAGTAGATTAACGTCGGTGGACTTGAACTTGAAAACTGTGTGTACTGATGTCTGTCCATGGTTGAAACAACATTCCTTCTGATGTTCATTTATGTTTATTTGATGGTATAAATTAACTAGAAGATATGATCGATTCACGAGCAGCTTTTACTGAAGTTCTACAGCGATCTGTCACGACACGTTAAAGAGCTACAAAACTGTATTTGTTTAAATTTCTTAAAGAAAAGACGAAATTTGAAAGCTGAGACTTTGTTTCATATCAAAAGTAACCTGCTCTACCCTGTCTGTTGGTACGTTGTCAGTGTCCTCTATGCTCCGCGATGTATTTTTTATTGCGTGAGAACATAAGAGCGCCATGGCTTGTCGGACGTACATGTAGCAACTGTAACTAAAGAGGGCGGGTCTTTGCAAACGGTCAATTGTTTTGATAGAGGGAAACAATATATTTTTCTAATTTTAACAATATTTGTTCCAAAACCTAAAAGGATAAAGATATCTTTAATATTTCTTGAGTTACTACATACAAACACAAGTGCTTTTTCCCATTTTTGAACGGTCACCATTGGCATATAATCCAACACAGATGACTAAAGTCAACAGATTTTACTAACAGACCTACCAATCTCTGTGTAAAAATAAAACAATGATGCTGCCATCTTTCTAGTCATTTTACCCCCCTGTAATTTTACTCCAAATCTCAGGTGAAACTTGTCATTTTGACCCACCCGAACACAAAATGGTCAATTACTCAAATATTCATCCATGACATTTTATATTTTGGCTTTCATCACTATTTATGTTTGTCTTTCACAAGAAAAAATATTAACAACATAAAAAATTTGAGCCGGGGTTGAGTTGACATGGAATGACCCAGCTTTATTATTATTATTAGTTTCAAAGTACTCAGAAATCACAATAATAGATACTCACTCAGTGGGCATGCTTGTCATTACCAAGGATCTATTTTTCTGGAAAGACAGAAAAAATCAATTAAAAACACTGAAAGATTAGAAATTAATTGTTGCAGTTCATTTCTTTTTACTCGTACACTAAATGTTTTTTGATCCCAATCAACTAAAATTCTATTATCTCAGACATGTACTATTGAGCTCCTGTTTTGTTGGCAAGTAGCATAAACCAGTAAACACATGCCGGATATCTGCATATTTGGTGAACAAAAAGGAAATGAAAGCCCAAGGCCATATGGGAGGGGAAGCATTTGAGAGCCGTTTAAGCACAGAACACCGTGACACCTTTTTATCTGTCCCCTGTACCCTGGCCTCAGTACAACAACCCTGTAGTACAAACACATGAACGGCCTTCCTCTCTATTCCTACAGGAAGTTGGGGTTTACATCCATCAATGAACAGGGCATCTAAAACAGGTTATACATAACATGTTTACCAAAATTCTTTCTGAGACCATGACACAAACATGTGGCCAGGTGCCAATTATTATTCCAGTCAATAGAAGCTAACGTCATTGCTCGTAAAATGTGTCAGACTGTTCAAGGAAGACAATTCTGTAGATGCTTTAACCTGTAAAACATCTCTGTTAAATATCATATACATCTGATTTAGATCAAATATTCTGTGGAGTTTTCTCAAAACGTAACCCATGAATTAAACTTTAATATATCATAGTCTGTCTCAATACAGAATTTATTTGGCTGGAATGTGTGAATTACAATAAAAAACGTTTAATGCACAGGTAGTTCCAAGTCAGTTTAATCACCGTTCTATATTAATGCGCTGTTTTCATTGAAGCGCACACACACAGGTCACGTGCACACACAGATCGTGCTGCAAACACACAGAAACATTCAGGAGCAAAGACGCTTGTTATCGATGCCGCCCCGACTTTAAGTAATAAAATAGCTTCACTACTGAATCACTACATTATATTTCCCAGCAATGTAGGGGTTTCGTCGCTATTTTTTTTGGTTGCAAATTGCTAAAACAACTGCCACTATGCATACAAATGCAGATCTGAACAAATTATGCAGAATACATAAATGCTTGCTATTTCCATGAGAGAGTGAAACAGAGAAACATTTAATATCGTACAAGGTTTAAAACATTTAAAAAGACATCAAATAGTAGAAAATGTGTTTAATGTAATATTTTACTTGAGATCACTCGCCAAAGTTCTTATTTCTGAGATGCAAAGCAACATGGCTATTAGATTTGCGATCGTGCTCTGCTCATTTCAATCATAAAGTTTACACTCATTCACTTCACACACTCATTTTAGAGTAGTCATTTTATATATGACATGAGAAAAGTAGAAAAACTAAAAGTTATCCGTTAGATATTAATGAAGTCGAAAGTGTTCATTCAACCAGTGTCCATAGTGAAAACAAACAATGGTCCAAAATAAGTCTTCCAAAAAACAAAAACAATATAAATCCTTTGTTTATGTTGTATCCCAAAAAATAAAACCCTACATAATTTAAGTTAAAATGAATAATGTCTTAATTAGGATTAAGGATTACGAGGGCAGATTACCCACGATTATGACCTCAAAACCTTTTACTAAAATGCATAATTTTTAAACTAATACATTTTGATGTTTGCATCACATACTGAACATATGCTTTTTCTGACATGGCAAACTTGATCGGTAGCTCATTTGGTACACCACTGCACTTTCAATGTGGAGCACAATCTGGATAAAAGTCACTACAAAAGAGCTCAAAGAATTGTAGAAATAAGCTAAAATGGCATGGTATATCACTGTAGTTAAAATAATTGATACAGTATTCACAGAAGCAATTTATGAACAGTATGTGTTTGTTATTTAGAATGAATCCAAGCAGCATAGTAAATTTCAAGACTGTAAACCTGATTTACTGTATACTGTAACTAAAGATTATTCATTTGACATATTAAACAGCTCTGCATTATTATTTAAATACATGAATCTATTTCCTTTTCCATAAAATAAAAATGATAAATGTGGTTTACTGTGCAATGGAACATTAAAGTGGTAATTTACTGCTGGAAAATTTGTAAATTGATTGTGTCTGGCTTCCGGAGTCATCCGCATTCAGTTATTTTTTGCTGTATAAAACAGCTTGTTATGCTGCTTGATATTGCTAACTGGTAATTTTTACCATATTATTTCTATTATCATCAATACAATCTGGTCTATAGCACAAATAGTTTAACCGCTTACTGCACTATGCTATAGTTATTACCCTAATTATTCACATTCACTGCTAACATCATTTCACTAATTATATCGGCACATTATTATGCTCTTATGTTAGCTATGGTTACCAACAAAGGAAGATGTGCAAAGAATATTGAGAGATGTCTTATCGATCACAAGTTCAGTATGGTGTACCACAAGGCTCAGTACTAGACCGTTGCTGTTCACTCTGTACATGCTACCATTAGGAGATATCATTAGGAAACATGGAATTAGCTTTCACTGTTATGTCGATGATACTCAGCTGTATATTTCTTCAAAACCCAACGAAAATTACCAATTCACAAAATTAACGGAATGCATAGCTGATATAAAAAATTGGATGACTAGTAATTTCCTACTACTAAATTCTGAAAAAACAGATTCTAATTATTGGACAAAAAACTTCCACAAGTACCGGCAATAACCTAGAATACGGTCTAACACCTGATAGCTGCTCTGTTAAGTCTTCGTCGTCGGTTAGGAACCTGGGTGTGCTCTTTGATACCAATCTTTCATTTGAAAATCACTGGTCTAGTATCTGTAAAACCGCATTTTTCCATCTTAAAAATATATCTAAATTACGCCATATGCTCTCATTGACAAATGCGGAACAATTAGTTCATGACATCAAGACTAGATTATTGTAATGCTCTACTGGGTGGTTGCCCTGCATGCTTAATAAACAAACTACAGCTAGTTCAAAACGCAGCAGCTCGAGTTCTTACCAGAACCAGGAAATATGACCATATTAGCCCGGTTCTGTCAACACTGCATTGGCTGCCTATTAAACATTGTATAAATTTTAAAATATTGCTGATTACTTACAAAGCACTAAATGGTTTAGCTCCGCAGTACTTGAGCGAGCTCTTAAAGCATTATAGTCCTTCACGCCTATTGCGTTCTCGAAATTCCAGCCAGTTGATAATACCTAGAATATCAAAATTGACTGCTGGCGGTAGATCCTTCTCTTATTTAGCACCAAAACTCTGGAACAATCTTCCTAACATTGTCCGGGAAGCAGACACACTCTGTCAGTTCAAATCTAGACTAAAAACACATCTCTTTGGCCTAGCATACACATAACACACTATAGACTTCCTTAATTCAAAATTAGGCTGCATAGTTTAGATCAGCCGGAACCGGGAACACGTCACGTAAATCCTGATGTACTTGGTTCATCATAAGAAGGATGGCGTCTACGCTAATATTAGTCTCTCTGTTTATCCCGAGGGACCCTCTATGGTGGACCTGCGCCTGGAGCACTTCGACTCGGTAATAACATCACTCGTGAAAAATCCTCTCCCCCCGCTCCCTCTCCTCCCTCTCATTTCAACACGGGAGCGGACTTTTCACGAGAGATGATATTACTGCGCCAAGTCGAAGTGCTCCCAAGCACTTGCTATGGTATTCTGCCATACAATATAGTTATCCATTTTACACGCTTAGAAAAGCGCAACGTTTTATTTTGTGTCACCGTTCTTGGTCGAGTTACACTACTCTAGTAACTGTATTTAAATAGGGAAAACGTGGAGGTGTTTGGTCGCTTCTCTGCTTGGCCCGTATTGAATGAACAGGGCTGAGATAAGATCTAACAAAGTTTCGCCGCAAGACAGCGATTTAGTGCACGCACTGAGACGAGAGAGGTATGCATCAACACGTCTTAGTTATGGGGAATAACAGTTTAATACGAAAAACAGTAGAGTATCCCTTTAAGAACTTGTGAGAGGTTCAACTGCAGCGAAGAAGGCTTCAAAACATCTGAAAGTGTCCAACAAGCACGAGGACCGTCTCCTCCTGAAGAGTCAGCCATGGATTTGTGTCACCCCCAGTGCAGTGCTTGCTCAATATTGGCAGCAGGTGGATGTGAGTGCATCTGTAAGCAAAGTGAGGCCAAGACTTTTGGACAACGGCCTGGTGTCAAGAAGGGCAGCAAAGAAGCCACTTCTCTCCAAGAAAAACATCAAGTACAGGCTGAAATTCTGCAGGAAGTACTAGGATTAGAAAGCAGAAGAGTGGTGCAAAGTTATTTTCTCTGATGTAGTCCCCTCCCGACTGGGACAACTGGAAAATTGACTGAAGAAAAGGTGAACGCAACCATGTCGTGCCAACAGTGAAGTATCCTAAATGCATCCATGTGTGGGGTTGATTTTCATGCAAGGGATTGGGCTCGCTCACAATTCTGCACAAAAACACTGCCAGAAATAAAGAATGGTTTCAAAACATCACAGGAGCAACTTCTAGTGATGATGCATGCACATAAGCCAAGAGTAAAAATGAAGAGGCTCAGAGATCATTACATTGAAATTTTAGATCGTCAAGTCAAGTCACCTTCATTTTATATAGCGCTTTTAACAATATAGATTGTTTCAAAGTAGCTTTACAGTGATAATAGCAAATTAAAGTAACAGAGACTGTTTTGGCTTTACAGCATCTCTAGAATAAAGCCATTGTCCAGCTAAAGTTAGTTTTTGATTGATTCACTTTCATTGCAAAGATCATTAGTTATTAACTAAGGGGCCGCTAACACAACACCGTTTTAACTGAAAACAGAAAACTGTTAATGGGTTCTGGCCGTTCACCTGCACGACAACAGTGTTTGGTGGCTAGAATGGTTCAAAGCTGCAAGTTTAGAATAAAAAAAAAAAAGCCTCATCTCCTTACACACCCCAAAAACGCGAATCCGCGAAAAAAGGTGATGGCGTGCACATGCATATCAAGCGTTTAGTCTACAGGTATGCGCATTTGAATATATATTTACAATTCTTTACAAATT